CCCCCCCCCCCTCCGTATCACCATGTGTGTCCTGTGTCTGGCTTCTCTCCCCAAGCCCCATGTTTTTCAGGTTCCACCACAGTGAAATGTCTGTCAAGGCCTCACTCCTTTCTTCCTTAAAGACTTTCTCTTGCAGTAGTTTTAGTGTCTTAGCAAAACTGAGGGGCAGGTACAGAGATTCCCCATAGACCCTCTGTACCCCACACGTGCCCAGCCACCACCCCGCCCCCAGGTGGTGCATTTGTGAGACCGATGCATCCGCACGGACATGGCATTGTGCGCCCGAGTCCACAGTGTGCATTGAGGTTCCTGGACAGTGTGCGTGCTGTGGACTGGGCAAAGCGTGTGATGGCCCAGATCCACCCCTCCGGTGCCATGCAGAGCATTTCCCTGCGTACATCTTCTGGGTTCCATCTACTCAACCCTCCGTCCCGCTGCCTGGGGCAACCCCTGTTATCGTCCCCGTAGCTCAGTGTGTTCCGGGATGTCACAGAGTCAGAGCCCCAAGGAGTTACACGTAGGGTGTGGCCTTCTCAGACCAGCTTCTCCCACTCAGTGATGGCATTTAAGGTTCCTCCAGGTCTTCATGGCCTAATGGCTCAATTCTTTTTAGCCCTGACCAACATTCTGCAGTCTGGGTGGGCCCCAGTTCATCCACCACCTGCTGAAGGGCATCTCGCTTGCTTCCATGCTGCTGCCAACATCCCTCTGTAGGTGCTGGTGTGGATGCCAAGCTTCCATTCACTCGGGTTGATACCAGGGCGCACAGCTGCTGCACCTGTGTGAGGAGTGTTTGGTCTGTAAGAAGCCAGCAAGCTGGCTCCCAGACTGGCTGCGCCATGCTGCTTGTCCACCAGCAACAAACAGGAGTTCCTGCAGCTCCACATCCTCGCCGGGTGTGCTGGTGTTGAGTTCTGGGTCTGGGCCCTTCTCCGGGAGGTGCAGTAGCGTCTCATGGGTGTTCTTATGTGTGTTTCCCGATGACATAGACTGTGCGGCATCGCTCCCTGAGCTCATTTGCCAGCTGTACATCTTCATGGTGAGGCATCTATGATGGGCCTCAGCCCATGTGACCACATGTGGTCTCTCATCTGTGGCTGTGTGAGTTCTTTGTGTGTGTGTAATGGCTCTCTATCAGGTGTGTGCTTTGCACATGTCTTCTCCCAGCCTGTAGCCTGACTGTCCACTCTCTGGACAGCACCTTTCGCAAAGCAGACAGCCTTGGTTCTCATAACTGCCATCCTCCAGCTGGGCTCCTTCCTCAGCATGCCCAGCCTTCTGAGGACCCGCCAAAGATGTCCTCATTTCCTTTAATGGTTTTGGCGTCTGGTGTCCTCTTGGGCTCCTTCCTAGGATTTCCACCTCTCTGCTTACACGGCCCACCTGTTCTTGCCTGCCATCTGCCTCATCTGTCAGAGCCCTGAGCATGTGATTCATCGTTTCAGCTTCCCAGGCTGACCATTCCAACATCCCCGCCATGTCTGAGGCTGGTTTGGGGCCTGTTATGTCTTCACTTTGTGCTTTTTGCCTGTTGTCGGACCCTGTACTGTTCTCTTGCTAGTCCGGTGCAAGGAACTGCATGCAGGCCCAGAGCAGTGTGGTGCTGAGTGGGGGGAGCCTGTGGGGTCCTGTGAGTAGGGCTCAGCCTGTTAGTGGGCCTGTGCCTCTGGGCTGTGAACTTCACAAGGGCTTCTCAGCTTTCATTCCCACTGAGTGGACACCTCGGGGGTTGCTGGTGCTGGCATGGCGGTTTGACCAGACCTGTGGTAACATGGCAGCAGGGAGACAGCAGGAAACTGCTCTGTGATCAGGACTGAGCTGGGGAGGAACGTCAGAGGTGACCCTGGCACCTGACCTCAGAGACCAGAAAACTGGCGGCGGGGAGGGTGGGGCTCATCAGCATCCAGACCAAGAGCACTGTTCCTCCCGGCCCCAAGCCAGGGGGCCCCACCCCAGGTCCTCAGATCCCAGCCTGCTGCTCTACCAGCTGCCACTCACATCTCGCTAGCCTCAGTTTCCACACTGTGTCTGGGCCCTGAGGAGGATTAAGTGACCTGACGTGCAACACTGCCCCAAAGGTAGCCACATCCAGGGGAAGCCCAGGCTCTGCTGTGAAGAAGGGGCGGCTCCCTGAGGTTGGGCTGCGGGGGAGCCTGGGGGCAGCTGGGCTGTTAGGTGGGAGGGGTTACCGCGGGGTGTGCTCAGGACCAGACCTCCCTTGCCTCCCGGGGTCACTCGCCACACAGCCCGTGGGGAAGAGCCGGGGAGCCCGGCCACACTGACCCCGTCCCAGGCTCCCAGCCCCTCACAGCCCTGCTGAGGCCAGACTAGCCGCAGGCTCTGGGGATGTCCCCTCCTCAACCATGGGGCTCCCAGCTGCCCTGTGGCTGGTGGGAGGCCCCAGGGCCCACCGCACGGGAGGTGCTGTGGGGCAGGTCTCAGACTGTGTGTCCTCACTGGGCCACTGCCCCTTTCCCTGCACAGCCCGCTGCCAGCATGAGGCCTGCCTGCGTCCCCCACGCCTCAGGCTCTCCCCATGCCTGGAAGAACATAGTTGTGTTGCAACAGATGCCCATTGGGATCCTTCTTAGGATCTTCGCACAGGCCTCTGGAAGCCATCCAGACCAGGGGACCCGGCCAGGGTGTGTGGGCGGGGCTGGACGCCGCTGGGCCCAGCCCGGCAGAGATGCGTCCCTCACTCCGGCCCATCTCCCAAAGCCGAGTGGCAGGTGGCGGAGGCTGAAGCTCTGGTCCACACTCTGGACGGCTGGTCGGTGGTGGAGAGGATGGTGGTGCCCACCAAGACGCCAGACGGGAAGCTCATCTTCAGCAGAGGGACCCTGCAGCACCTGACAGGTGGGTCCAGCACACACAGCCTCGCCCTGCCCTCCTCCTCCTGAGAGAAGCCAGCCAGTTGGGCTCTGCCAGTGCTCTGTGGAAGAGCCATCGACATTCCAGATGGAGCAAGTGCCTGGGTGGAGGGCACGTGGATGAGGCCACCCATGTCAGCTCACACTGGGCCGCGTGGTGCAGTCAGTGCCGTTGATGAGGGGGAAGCCAGCCCCAGCACCCCTCCAAGCAGGGTGCTGCATGGGATCCCACCGTCCATGGCCCAGGCAGTCCCCACATCGTTTTCCAGCCTAGCAGTCAGAGCGGTGAGCCCAGGGAGGTGTCTTGTCACCCTGGATCTCAGATGCATCATCCACACGGGGCCGTGTGTCGTCCATGTGCATGTAGGCCCCACCCCTGAAGGTGGACCTGGGTTCTCCCCTCTATCCCCGACAGCACTCATGCCCAGAGAGTTGGTGACCAGGGCACAGCCGTCCACAGGGTGGGCGGCCCATGGGGGCCAGTGGGGAGTGCATCTGACAGGACCTCTCTCCTCAGAGAAGATTAGAGGGATGCCGGGAGTCACAGCCGTCTTTTTGAACATCGAGAGGATGGCCGCGCCCACCAAGGTACCAGGACCCTGCATGATGATCTCCATGGGCGGGCTGGGGGCGAGGGGCCCCTCCCTCCGTGGAGGACAAGGACACAGGACCAAGGGACAGTGCCCTGCTTGCCCCTTGGCCGTGGCCCCACTGCTGGTGGCCTCACTCACTGCCTCCTTTTCCAGAAAGAGCTGGAGGCCACCTGGGGCATCCAGGTGCTGGACCGCTTCACCGTGGCCCTGCACATCTTCCGCTGCAACGCCCGCACGCGGGAGGCCCGGCTCCAGGTGGCTCTGGCCGAGCTGCCCCTGCTCAGGTATCGCAGTGCATAGGTCTTGCACGGACCACCGCCTCTGCGCCTGCATGTGGCTGTTCCCTGGGGTGCACGCGGCCCCAAACATGGCCTAGCAGGCTGTGCCCTCCAGGCAGTGGGGCAGCTTGGTGCCAAGTCCACACAGCATAGCGCACCTCCAGGCATGTCCTCCCATTAGGAACGTCACTACTGTGGGACCCAGGGCCTGCCAAGGTGGAGGCCCATGCAGGAAGGAGGTTCCCCAGTGCACGTCCTCTCTCTCCACAAGCCCCCACCCACCCACAGTGCCATACTCACCCTCACCTGATGTGTGCCCTCTGCTCCAGGTGTCTGCTCCTGAAGTGCCCCTTTTCCATGCCAGGTCCAACCTGAAAAATGTTACTGCCCACCTGGAGAGACGAGGAGGGGGCTCTCGCTACATCATGGGGTCAGGTAAGATATTTGAGGTCTTGGCACCCAGCACTCCGAAGGGGGATGTCACGGCAGCCTTGTCTAGGAAGGGGACGACCTCCCAAGGGCTGCATGTAGACTTGATGTCTGGTCACATTCACATACACTCAGGCACCAAGGGGGTTCCTGGGGCGGCCATCACAGAGCAGGGCTGTACACCACAGGAATCATCCTCCCCAGCTCTGGAGGCCAGACGTCTGAGGTCCCAGCGGGGCAGGGCCTGCTCCCTCCCCAGGCTCCAGGGGAGGCTCCTTCCTGCATCTTCCAGCTTCTGGGGGCTCCAGACAGCCTTGGGAGTGTGGCCACATCCCTGCCTGTCTACCTCTGTCTCCACATGGCTTCTCCTCCGAGAGTATTTCTCTCCTCTTCTGTCTTTTACAAGGACAGTTGTCATTTGGTTTAGGGCCACCTATATCCAGGAGGACCTCCCCTCAGATCTTGCATTTAATCCTGTCTGTAGAGACCCTGTTTCCAAATAAGGTCCTTTTCCCAGGCCCTAGAGGTCAGGACATGGATTTATCTTTGGGGTACTCCTCAGCCTGCCATGGATACCGTGGGGGCTGTCCTAAGTCTCTCTTCTCAGGCTCTTCCTTCTGAGTGATGGGGAGCCCTGGTGACCTCAGGGCAAAGATGTGGAGTGGAGGCGCCTCATCTCAGAACAGAGGCAGGCAGCGACTGGCTGGGAAGCAGGCAGGAGGGTCCCAGCAGTCCCAGAGGGCACTTAGCCGCATTGCCTGCAGCGTCCCACTGCGGTGTGGCTTACCTCGGGTGTTTCCCTTCGGTGTCTCCTCCCTAACCCCTGTCCTGGCTGTTTGCAGGAGAGTCTTCCATGCAGGTGCAGCAGCGTCTCTTGAGAGAGAAGGAAATGAAGATTCGGAAAGCCCTGGAGCGACTCAAGGGGAAAAGGCAGCTTGTGGGGCAGCAGCGCAGGCGGCGGGAGTTCCCAGTCATCTCCATGGTGGGGTACACGAATTGCGGTGAGTGGGGCTCAGGAGGGGGGCCCATGCCAGGCTGATACCCGTTGGGAGAATCCACTCTCAGGCACAGCAGGATGGCAGCACTTGGGGGCTGGCAGGGGACAACAGACTGGAAATTGGGGTTCGCCTCCCCACAGTTCTTGGGGCCATAGCACCCAGTCAGGGCACTTGCCTCTGCTGAACGCCGGATGGCACACTGGATACCTGCTTGCGTGGATGTTTTCTAGACACTGAGAAGTAGAAAAGCTTTGGCATTTTTAAGTGCATTTCCAGGGACCAGTGACATACTCTGAAAAGGAAGGAGGCTCAGTCATAAAACAAAATTCCAGCACGTTTTAGGTCCAGCTTAGCCTGCTTGTCCCGTGGAATGTTTCCCAGGAGCCTGGACTCAGGGTTTCTCCTGGCCACGGAGTCACTGGTGCACTTGGATACATAAGCACCCAGACTCCTCCCTCACCTGCGTTTGCTGAGCTCCTGTGAGGTCAGCCCCTCTCCCTGGGCTCGGAAAATACCAGGCACCACCAGCTCCCTCCTCTAGGAGCTTATGGTCTGTGTCGAGAGGGAGGGAATGTCCCACAAAGCCGGGAAAAGGCTGTGGGGGCATAAACGTTTCCAGGAGGCATGAGTTCACGTACCAGAGTAGATAGATGGCCTGCCATGGGCCCCTTCATCACAGACAAAATAGGTCTCTCTGAGATGATGCCTCCCGGGTCCAGGTGTCCCCAAGCGACCCAGCACAGAGGAGTCCATGTCCTGGGATGCACGTTGTGAATGTGGCCTGTGCCTGAGCCAAGCTGTCCAGAAATGATCACCTGATGCACCTTTGGATTGAGCCAGTGGGCACCAGTGGGTCTCTGCTGGCCACTGGTGTGGCCCTGCACGCTGGGGGCAGGTGTGAGCGCCTGTTCTGTCAGAAAGGCTGAGGGGAGGGCATGTCCTAGCGAGTGTGCCACCTTGGGCATATGCAGCCCCTGTCTGTGTACACCAGCCTGTCTATACCACCGTTCTCCATCTATACAGATGTCCAGCCCACCTTATGTACCTGCCCTGACACCACCATTGCCCCACTGCAGCATCACCCTGCCTCGTAGCATCACCCTCTGCACTTGCACCTTGTCTGCCCATCGTATCTACACCACCACCCTCCATCCACACCATCACCCCATCTACACCATCATCTTTGTGTATACTATCACCTGTCTGTAATATAAGTCTCCATCCACACGGCTGCCCTACACGTGCAGGCTCACACCGCACCTGCCTCGTCAATAGGGATGCTAGGTCTACATCATGCATACACAGACATGCGTACATACGTGACCACCCCGTCTACACAGTCGCCCTTGTGTACACTGGTGCTCGTCCCTGGTCTGGTTTCCCCAGAGGCATGACAGTGCAAGTGGGTCCTTGGTCCACCTGTGTGCCTTTCGAGGGTCGTGCAGAGACTTTGGAGCTGAGGCCTTACCCCAACCCCCCAAAGCACATGGGTCTGACACAGGGTGGCCCAAGGTCCAGCAGTGGACGTGGGAGACACGTTAGGGCCTTTCACGCAGCATGTCCCCTTACAACCTGCCTTCCAGGGAAAACCACACTGATCAAGGCCCTGACGGGAGACCCTGCCATCCAGCCCCGGGATCAGCTGTTTGCAACACTGGACATCACAGCCCACGCTGGGTCGCTGCCCTCCCGCATGACTGTCCTGTACATGGACACCATCGGCTTCCTCTCCCAGCTGCCCCACGGCCTGATCGAGTCCTTTTCTGCCACGCTGGAGGATGTGGCCCATTCGGTGAGTGTAGAATGACACCAGTGCCCAGTCCCCCACCCAGGGCGCACAGCATGTGTGCAGGGCTGGCTAGACAACCAGGCACCCCACAGTGACAAGTCCTGGACACGTCTGGGCAGGAGGGCCTGCCGCTTGGTGGCGGGTTGGCTTCGGGGCATGTGACTGCTGCCCCAGCAGCCCGGACACCGCAAGAGCTTTGGGTTTGTGGGTTTTCTCAAAGCCTAACTTTTCTGAAGTGAACCACTTTGTAGAAAGAAAAATTAATTGTGTCCAAAGAGGAGCCAGAGTGATCAGAACCAAATGTACATGGTGACGGAACGAGGGGGCACGGGGAGGGCTGCTGTGCGTGGGCCTGTCCGGGCAACCCCAGAGGGGAGGGGGTGGGCCTCGCCATGCAGAGCAGCCCCGTTCCAGGGCTCTGTGTGGGGCCCCCACCCCCACCGTGGGCCGTCATGGGGTTGGTGTGGTGGCCCCACTTCCGACTGTGTGGCCTGATGGTCCCCAGGATGTGATTGTCCATGTGAGAGACGTGAGTCACCCTGAGACCGAGCTGCAGAAAGCCAGCGTCCTGTCCACGCTGCGAGGCCTGCGCCTGCCTGCGCCGCTGCTGGACTCCATGGTGGAGGTGCACAACAAGGTGGACCGCGTGCCTGGGTGAGCGTACCTTCCCAGGAGCCCTCCCCAGGGACCCACCCCTCCCTGGGCCGCCCCCCCTCCGGCTGGGTCCGTGCCCCGAGTTGCCTCCTCCCTGGGTGACTGGGGCGCCCTGCTGCCCTCCTGAACCTCCTCCTGAACCGAGCACGCCAGGCACACAGGAGCTCGGTCTCCTGCTCGCAGGAAGGACAGGGCGTTCACGGTCCTGCCCTGTTGGGCTTCCAACTGCAGAGACCCTTGTGCCCAGACCAGGTGGAGCTGCAGGTGGGGCTCTGAGCGCTTTCCCCGCAAAGGCTCATTCGTAGTTGCCCGCAGCTTCTGTCTCTCCGTCCAGCAGGACGTGTCCTCTCATGGGACAGTCGTCACAGGACAGGCACGGGCAGGGGACTGTCAGGGACCCTCACTGGGTCTTCCCGCAGCTGAGCAGGCCTGCTGGCCTCCCCCACAGGTACAGCCCCAAGGAACTGCATGCGGTGGCCGTGTCTGCCCTCCTGGGGCTGGGGCTGGAAGAGCTGAGAGCCCAGCTGGAGGACGCTGTGCTGCAAGCGACTGGCAGGCGGATCCTCGTGCTCCGAGTCCCGCTGGCAGGAGCGCAGCTGAGGTTTCTGGGGCTGGCCTGGGGCCAGGGAGTGGGGATGGGAGGTAAAGGGGGCAGGGAGCAGGCAGGGGAGCAGTGGGGGGTGCGGAGGTGAGGGGGCAGGGGGAGCAGGGGGCAGGGAGCTGTGCGCTGTGCATGCAGGTGTTCCCTGCAGCGAATCCAAGTTAGTTTGGGGCAGCCCGGTGGCCTGAGTGGTGCCCGAGGCTCCCAGGGCTCACAGCGGTGCCTCCTGCACCTTGGACACGCAGTCCGTGCAGACTCAGTGCCGTGCTCCCAGGGAGGTGGTTACTGGGAACGGGTCGTCAGGGTCCTGGCTGGTCCCCTAATCCGTACCTTCCTCTCAGCTGGCTGCACACGGAGGCCACGGTGCAGGACGTGGCTGTGCTTCCCGAAGCGGGCGTGGCCGACGTCAGGGTCGTCATCAGCCACTCTGCCTACGGCCGATTCAGGAAGCTCTTCCCGGAGTGACAGGAGCCTAGGGCTGCAGCGCCCCTCCGCCCCACCCCTACCTTCACTCAGGACGTGGGCTCGGGGTCCAGCACGTCTCCCCCAGGAGGCTTTACCCGGATACAGTAAAGGCTCCGCGGGTATTTGCCAAGCTGCCTTCCTGGTCCTTCTGTGAGTGCCCGCTGGGAAGGAAGCAGGTGAGTCTCCCCTGCTGCTGTTCACCACGTGCAGCTGCCAGGCCCTGCTGCTTCCCACAGGGTGTTGTGGGGACAGATGTCTCCCCCCCACCCCGGACGCCTCCCCCCAAGGGAGGGCTGAAATAGTGTGACCTTGAATGGCCAGAAACTGGAGTGCAGTGCATCGCAGTCTGCCCGTGGGGACGGGCAGGCAGGAGACTCTCCTGTATGCAGGTTGGCAGCCACCCCCACACACGTGTGTCCTTATTGTTCCCCACCCCATCCCCAGGGCAGGAAGCGGACCCCTGGGGCACAGGCTCTGAGTCACAGAGGCCCCAGGGCCTAACAGACACCCCTGAGACACATGCTCCACGCGTGTGGACAGAGTGACACCCCCAACCCCGGGCGCACAGAATGAGGTCCCCAAAGAAGTCCACGTCCTCACTCAAATTCTGAGGGTGTGTGGCCTTTCTTAGCCAAGAGGACTTAGCGGGTGAGGCGAGGGTGACCCTGGACAACCTGATTGGGCCCCCGGTCATCACCGGGGTCCGAGTACAGGGGTAGGGGAAGGTGAGCACAGCGTGGAGGTAGGTCAGTAAACTGCGGCAGCTGCCCTGCTGGCTTGGGGGCTCCGGGAGCCAGAAGAGCTGGGAACGGTTTCTCCCTACAGCTCCGGGGAGCGAGCTGTGACTGCCTGTGAGCATGTCAGGCTTCCCGCCTCGAGGTCCGACCCGTGTCATGTGCGGCCACCCTTTGGCCCTGTGGCAGCTGCCCCCGACACTGACCCATGGGGCCCTGGGGTGCAGGATGCACAGGGCAGCCCCCGAGAGCCAGCTGCACGCCCTGACGGCCCTACCACCTCTCCCCGAGGCCTGGCAGCACTGTGTGGAGGGGCACAGGGTGGAGACGAGTGACGTGTCTGGCGGCATGTAGGAAGGAGCAGCAGTAACCCCCCCAGAAGGGCTGACCAGGCCAGCCTGGGCCTCAGCGCCTGCCACTCAGTCTCCCCCTGGGGATTCACGCCTGTGGGGTCTCCGAGCCACCAGGGGTCCAGTGGGTGAGAGGCACCTTGCTTGTCCTCGTCCCGAGCTCCTGAGAGCCACCATCCGCTAGCCCACCCGGGGTGCCCACTGCTCCCCCCAGCCTAACCCCACCCTCTGCTGTCTGGATAAGGCCTGCTCACTCCTGTCTGCTGCACCCCAAGCCCTCCCTGGCTGGAGACTATGAGGGGCGGGGCTGGTTCTGGTCTTGGCCGCTCTCCTCCTGGGACACCCCGCTGCTTGGTGTCCCCTCCCCACCCCAGAGGCTCTCCCTGGGGACCCGGAAGGAGAGCTCAGGCCTGCAGGGTCTGAACACAGTATGGGAGATTAGTGAAGGGGGGCAGTTGGAGGTCCCATCATGCCTCAGAGGGAGGGGCTCAGGGCCCCAAAAGGTGAGGGTTCTGGGGGTCCCACAGAGAGGGTGGGGGACTTGGGGCCCACAGAGAAGGTGTTGGGCTTTCCCAGAGGGAGCAGGTAAAGCTGTCAGCACCAGGTCCTCCCTCTCTGAGATGGGCTTCATTACCCACCCCAACAGCCTCCTTCTGGGGTCCGTGGTTCCCAGAAAAGTCTGCACCCTGAGAACGAACCCATGTGGGCAGGAGGGAGGCAGGTGTCAGGGCCGGGCAGATGCCTGGTGTCCCCACCCTGTGTCTGACGCAGGAAGGTGCCCTGGGCCACCGCTGAGCAGCAGCCCCCTGAGCAGACATGCAGCACCACTGACTCCTGCCACACGGACTTCCGCACTGGCCACGGCTGTGGAGATGGGACAGGATTGCGCCTGCCCCTCCCACGCGCTGTAGGCGCTAAGGCGTTGTGAAGTCACCCTCCTGGGAAGACCCTTCCCAGAGAATGTCACCCTTCGTACAAGTCTAGGAAACTCATCTTCTCAATTAAATAACTAATCTTTGGTTAAAGTCCCTGTGGCAGAGGTTAAACTATCCCAAAACTCAAACCTGGTCCATTCCTTGAATTTATAGAGGAAAATAAGCTGAGTAGAACTGTACACTGGGATTTTTCTTCAGTGTCTATGACCCAAAAAAGTGCAAGACCTGACATTTCTAAAGATCCTACTGTATAACCAAAAATGGGAACCAAAGTCCGTCAGTGAATCTGACTTCATTGTCTTCTGTTTAGAGTTCAGTGAGTTAGGGAGAACCATAGCCGACACACATGGGAGGTGACCATGGGATGGATACACGCCCACTGTGTCCAACTGCGGTCAACACATTCCTGCGTCTCCACCTGCTCTCCTGAGCACGAGGGTCTGGTGGGAGCTGAGGCAGAACACAGTGGGATGGCCAGGAACCTCCTTTCCAGGTTTTGGGCATGTTTGGTAAATAATGGTACTGAGAGCACAGCAGATTTTCCTCTGAGAAAAAAAGACTAATTTGGTAGCAAAGATAACATGCTCCAGCATGGGTTAAATAGTGCTGCTTCAGACTATCCAAGACAACACTGTGCCTAAAACCTTCCTTGATAAGAGGAACGCTCCCGAACACAGGGCCACGTGGGAAGCCCTTCGACCCTCTTACTGCAGATGTGAAATAGAGGTGTGCTTAGGGCCGTTATCTGGCCAAGAACTTGAAACCATCGGGCCTGTGAAGGTCCCGCACAAGGCACGTTCCTGTGACCTCTGCACTCATGGCGCTGGGTTCCTGGTCTCACAAAGTGGAGAATAGGCCTAGACCATGCCCTGCCTCCCACAGAATGGGCAGCTCAGGATCTCTGTTCCCATGAGCTTCAGCTTGTAGAGTGGCTGAGCCCACATGGAGTCAAACCACTCTGACTATTTCCACTTCCCAGAAGCAGGGGGAATGTAGTGGGGCCACAGCGGATGAGCCCCATTGGGTCTGGAAGCAGAAGCATGAGGCCACAGAGCTTGCCAGGGAGGGTTTGGCAGGACAGCAGGTAGGATGGGTCTGGCTGGCTAGAAGAACCCTGCGGGTCTCCAGCTCCTGGCCCTGGGAGACTGGGGCAGGGGACATCAGCACGGTGTCTGCATATCACATCAGGGGAGCGGCCTGCTGCCAAGTCATTTTTGTCTCTGGGAGTCAGCCAGCCCCGGACAGGCAGTCTTGCTGGGTCTGCAAGGCCCACAAATGCCAGAACATCAAGAACACAGAAAATAAGGAGATCTAGTTAATATAATGAGCTTTGTGGCAAATGGATGGAGAAGAGAGTCTAAGAAACCTAAGAGCACAGGGGAAGTTGGAATAGTGACAAACACTCCTGCGGGCCTCGGAGAGAATCACAGGTGAGGCAGGGTCCGCAACGCAGGCACAGGCCCGTCAGAATCCAGGCACCGAGGAGGGCGTGTGGCTTTACAGCTGCGCAGAGCAGGCAGGCTGGGACCCTTACGTGAGTGGCCGGAGGAGAGCAGGGCCTGGGCAACCGAGTGTGCCTCAGCCCCGTAGCGGCCAGGGCGGGCCAGGAGCCTGTGCTACACCTGCCGTCTCACACCTGGAGACGCTGCTACCGAGGCCTGTGGGCCACCTGCCACGCTCTTCATGGCAAACTCCCAAACAGCCCCAACCGGTCCCAGTCCAGCCAGAAGAGGCCGAGAGCAGTGAGCACGCAGCAGCCTGTTGGCTGGGAAGCGGCTGGTGTCCTCAGAGTTGGAGACAGGTTGTTCACATCAGTTCTTAGGTGGTTTTCTCAGGATCCCAGCACACTTGGTGCTCCCCGTTCACATCAGCCCTGGAGCTGTGGGGATGTCACTCTGCTGCTCTCCCAAGCCCCTCATGGGCGATCACAGCACAGCTGGGCTAGGCCCGGACAAACAGACCCCCACAATCTGGGTAGGCCTTCCCTTGAGGAGCTTTAGTCATCAGCACATGCACTGAACCCTGCAGGGTCAGGAATCCACCCCAGAGATTCTGAGGGATCCACAGAGATGCTAAGGAATCCACAGTGACGCTGAGGAATCCACCCCAGGGCTGCTGAGGAATCCACAGGGATGCTGAGCAGCAGGGGGCATTCGGAGGAAGGAGGCGGAGGGACCCTGTCCCACCCACATTGCCCAGACCCACTCCTTGCCTGCACTTGGCAAAAACCACACGGCCACACGGGGAGAAGGATGAATGTCGACATGTCCTGAGTGCTGAGCTCGAGAAAGGACTCAGCATGGAAGCAGCTTTTCATTGAGCCGTATGACATCGCTGGTGAAAGCATCCGTGCCGATGAAGTCGCCCGCAATGATGTTGGTGCACTGTGCGCCCGGCCCAGGGCACTGCTCCCGCACCCACCTGCTCAGGTAAGGCAGGCTGGGGAGTGTCATCTTCTTGAGGGACTCGGACGGGTGCAGGAGGATGTAGGCCAGGTTCTCCGTCAGGTTGATGCCTGCCACGAACAGCCCACCTGAAATGGACGTGAGACAGAGGGCACATGGGGCTCCCACGTCCGATCACCTGCCATCAGCCCCCGCGTCTCTCCCCACTTCTCTTCTCAGCCTCAGCTCTTCCCCCAGAAGTTGGGGTCCTGACAGGAAAGATGTCTATTTCCCATACTTCTGTTACACAGGACAGTGGGTGGAAAATGCCCCCACAGACACCTTGTCCTCACCCCTGGATCTTGTGGATGTGTGACTTTATAGGGCCAACAGACTTGGGGATGTAATTCCCTTAAGGATCCTGGGATCACTGTGGATGACTTGTCAGCTCAGTGTCATCAGAAGTGTCCCTGTGAGAGGGTGGTCTGGGAGTCTGAGGGCAGAGAGAGCTGTGGGGCGATGGCATCAGACATAAAGAAGGTGTGAAGGGCCCACAGCTGAGGACTGCAGGTGCCCCAAGAAGCCAGGGGAGGTGTGAGGTGGATTCTCCCTGGAGCCCCCAGAAGGAGCCAGCTGTGCCCACACCTGGACATCAGCCAGGGCCACCCGTTTGGATGTCTGCCCTCAGAACTACAACAGAACCCATTTCTATCATGCTAGGCCGTGAGGTTGTGGCGTTTGTCACAGCGGCAGAAGGAGACCTGTTCACCGAGTTGGCCAATGGTTTCCTAGCACAGTCTCCGAATCCTGAGATGTGCGGGTTGCCAGGCCACCCCGGGTCTGCTGAAGCAGGACCGCCAAGGGGCTGCAGCCTGTGCTTAGGAAGCCCCAGTGAGGCACAGCATGTGTGCTTGCCACTGGCCTGAACTCAGTGTGTGGCGAGGGCAGAGAGGTCTGTAGGCACCCGAGGTCCACGCTGAGCCACACAGCCTGCCTGGCTGCCACTGGGCTGGGTCCCATGCTCTCCCTTAGGATGCAGCCCATGTGCTGGCTGAAAGGCTGCTTTAGAGCCTGAACAGCCACTGAGAGCCGGGCCTCGTAGGCACCCAGGATCTGGGAGGTGCGGAAGGGGCAGCAGGCAAGTTCCTACTGCAAATCCCACCCCACGTCTGTATGGGGAGGCCCCTCATAGCCCCAGGACTCGATATCCCACCCCCCATGGCTCTGAGCACTGGCCGTACACGATGCCCCCAATGATAGCATTTTCAAAACAGGTGAAATCCATGAAAAACCATGAAATCACCATTTTAAGGGGGTTGCAAATTTGAAATTCAGATGCATTCAGCACGTTCACAATGTTGTGTGAACATCATGTGTATCTGATTCCAGAACATTTCATCCCCCAAAGGAGACCCATCCCCACGAAGAGCAAGCCTCCCCACCCTTCCCAGTCCGACAGCCACGGATCCACGTTCCGTCTGTGGATCTGACTGTTCTGGGCATTTCCTGTGAATGGATCCCACACCGTGTGTCCCTGTGTGTCTGGCTTCTGTGAACCTCATTTTCCTGGTTCAGCCGCATGGCAGACCTCACTCCTCTCCGTGGACAGACATACTCCACTGCAGTGGGACCCCACGTGTCTGTCAGCTCATCCCACGACCACCTGGGCCATCTGCACTCCAGGGACTTTTCAAGCATCGCCCACCCCCCACGAAGTGGAACCAGCTATATTCAGGATCGCACCAGGCTTGCGCCCAGACATTGACCCTCAAACCCCATCCCCTGGAAAGCCCACCTAGCAGTTCTCTTCAGCCCCGAGCAAAGCTGCCCTGGCTAAGCAAGGGCTCTAAGAGCAGCGGACGAGCCACGAGCTGAAGCCTAGCGTCCAGGACGAAAGCAGGCCATGCTGGCTGACACCAGGTGCCATGCAGCTGGCATCCAAGATGCTCCCAACCTCGTTAGGAGCCTGTGCAGGCTGGCTGCACTCAGTATATGCAACACCGTGGATTTCACTCGTTTGAAACGCACAAGGTTGACTCAGACAAAGCTGGTCACCACATGGAGCTAAGCTAGCAGCCAGCCACGCACAGGCACCTGGAGGGGGACAGCAGGACCTGGAGAACAACGCGTCCACCTCGCACCGCACACCCTGACCATGAGGGAAGCGTGACACAGCGACTCCGCATCAAGAGAAGGTCCCTCTACCAGCACTGAGCACGTGCCGCCAACACCACAACCATCCTGTGACAAGCCGAGGCTGCTGTGTGCAGCATGCTTGCATGAAAGGGCTGATTTCCTTAAAGAGGCTAAAGCTCCATGATGAGAAGCGTGGGAAACGTGTCAGGGATTTCCCTGGGGAGCCATGTGAGCATGCAAGCCCGCGCCACCTCTCACCCCGAGTTGACCGTTGGGCCACATCAGAGCGGCTGCTGCCCGACCCCAAGGGACTGAGCTGGCGTGAGTGCCCAGCAGGCTCTGCCCCACAAGGGCGGCAGCGCACAGGGCAGGCAGCCCAGGACAGGCTTAGTGAAATAAGCTGTGTTACCGATGCAGGGAGGATTCCACACAGAGGAAGCTGCAAATGGAGGAAGACACCAAATCTGATAGAAACAGAGGGATGCAAGAGGCAGGGCTGCAGGCCCTGGAAAGGGGGAATCAGGGTCTGGCCTCAGGGCTCGGCGAGGAGGGTGCCCAGTGTGACCATGT